ATCATTATCATCACATCATCACCAACGTCAGCATCATCACCAACGTCAGCATCATCATCATCGTCATCATCACCATAATCACCAAATACTTCAAGCCCTCCGAGCTCTGATGTATGTATGTCCCTTCAGTTAAGTTGCCATTTAGATATAGCTGCACTTTTAATGGTGGTTCGTAAAATGATGACGATGATGGTGGTGATGAAGAAGAAGATGATAGTGGTGACGGGTAAGATGGTGATTGTGAAGATGATGAAGTCGTTGTTGAAAATGACGTTGTTGTTGATGATGATGGTGGCGTTGCTGCTATTGATAATGATGGTGAAGAAGATGACGTCAGTGTGGTTGACTGAGTTATCCACCATAATGACGAAGATGATGATGAAGATGATGAAGACGAAGAAGACGACGAAGAGTAGAATCTCCGAACGACACTAGGCAAACCAGTTATAAGTTCTCTAACGCATCTGATTGAAAATTTTTGCTCTTTGATATCAATCCTAACTTGAAGTGTTAAAAATAAGTCTGCGAGATTCAACATGGACAACATGTGCGTGCGTGTAGCACGCATGATAAACAGTTTGGATTATTAAGCAAATGTGCTGTAACCAGGTTCAAACGCAAAGAAAATCAAGATTATACGATTTTTACTTTGCACATTCACACCCACTACTACAACAACTACTACTACTACTTTTACTACTACTACTACTAATACTACTACTAATACTACTACTACTACCAATACTACTAATACTACTACTACTAATACTACTACTACTACCAATACTACTAATACTACTACTACTACCAATACTACTAATACTACTACTACTAATAATACTACTACTACCAGTACTAATACTGCATCCACTACTACTACTACGAAAACTGTTGCTATTTTATTATCATCATCATCACCTTCACCACCACATCACATTTTATCACATTTCATCATCATCACCTTCACCACCACAACAACATCATCATCATCATGACCAGCGCCCACTTCTCAATGACGAGAATGTCGTCGCCAGACTGTACAGCGACGCCACAGTTGCACGTCGCGGCGACAAATTTGGAGCACCTCTGGTAGATCACGTGCACCTATTATTATTATTATTGTTTTTATTAATATTATTATTATTGTTGTTGTTGTTATTATTATTGTTGTTTTGATTGGCCTACCTTGAAAGGTAGTTTCACATGCCTGTAGAGTACAAACTCGCCTTCTTGAAAATTGTTGTACGTCCTGTCGATGTTTG